GAGAATTGCAATTCTCAGCAGCTTCCTCTGTGATCTGTGTGTCCTGACTGAGCCCTCGCAGACCTTTATTAGTGCCAGGTGTTCTTTAGCTAATTGACTGCTCACTGGTGGATCTGGGTTGGCTCCTTCTCTTTAGCAGAGCCTGTCACGGGGAGGCTGGGTGCCTGACCTCCTTGGGAGCCTGCTACCCTGGGACACAACCTGTGACCTGTCTGAAGACTGTTATCATGTCCCCCATCAACCTTCTCTTCTCTAGACTAAACACACCCAGTTCTTTCAGCCTTTCCTCAGAGGTCAGGGTATCATTTTGGTTGCTGCCCATTAGAGTCTCTCCAATTTTTCTACATCTTTCTTAAAGTGCCGTGCTGAAAGCTGGAGACAGTGCCCAGCTGAGGCCTCCTCAGTGCTGAGTAAAGTGGGCCACTTACCGCCCATGTCTGACATACCACACTTCTGTGAATACATCCCAGAGTGACACCTGCCCTTTCCACAACAGCGTCACTATGGACTCAGACTCAGTTTGTGATCCACTATAACCCTAGATCCTTTTCCGCAGTGCTACTGCCTCACCAGTCACTCCCCATTTTGTAGTTGGGCATTTTCTTTCCTAGGTGCAGTACCTGCACTTGTGTTTATTGAATTTCATCTTCTAGATTCAGGCCAATTCGCCACATTATTAAGATCATTTTGAATTCTAATCCTTTCCCCCAATGTTCTTTCAACCCCTCCCAGCTTGTTATCACCCATACATTTTACAATGACTCCTCACTTAACGGTGTAGTTATCACCCGGATCATCTGGACTGATCGGTCTTCAGCTGTCGTTAAGACTGCGCCGATCACAACACATCCGCCATTCTTCTCGCATTCTTGCCTTTCTTCTCCATGTTCGTCCGAAACGTTTAACAATGTCATCTTCCCAACTTCTTGGAGGCCAACCAGGTGGTCTTTTCTGTTCTCGCGGGTACCACTCAGTAATGATTGCGGTCCACCTATTGTCCGTGAACCGTGCTATGTGGCCCACCCATCGTATCCTATTATATCTGCTTTCCATGACAATATCTTTCCCACCACTGCGTTCTCTAATCATTTCATTTGGGATACGATCCAGAAGGGAAATTCCCAACATCGCTCGTTCCATTGCCCTTTCAGCTACAGACAGCCGCTGTTCTCTCTTCGTCAGTGCCCACGTTTCACTGCTACACAGCATAGCTGGCAGCACTGTTGAATTGAAGATATTTGTACGTGTGGTCTTGTCAATTTTTCCTTTGAGGACGTCCTTGATGGAATTAAACACACACCATCCTGCCCGAATCCTTCGCGAGAGTTCTCTGTTCATGTCTTGGCGCATATTAACTTCTTGGCCCAAATATACATACTGTTCCACTTCTTCAATTTCTTCTCCTGTTACCGTTATTCGGGCTTTTCTTAAGACGTCTGATCGCATGTATTTCGTTTTGCAATGGTTCATTTTCAGACCGACCTGACTACTTGTCTTGTCGAGTCGTCGTAGCATGCTCTGCAGTTGGTTGGTGCTTTCGGCAATTGGTACGATGTCGTCTGCAAATCTGAGATGAGATCATTGTTCTCCATTTATATTAACACCACTCCTCCAATTGATCTTGTTCATAACCATTTCAAGGCAGGCGATAAATAGTTTTGGTGAAATCGTATCTCCTTGCTTTTCGCCTTTCTCGATTGGGATGCGGAGGGGAGTTTCGAGAAGAGTAATGTCTGTTGTAGTTATGTTCCTGAAAAATGCTACTTTAAGCAAAATGATGTGAAGCGAATCCAATTTCCCCATAAGAATTAATGTAAATAAGGGGGGTTAGGTTCCAGGGAAATTTTTTTCGCCAGACAAAAGACTATTATATATATATATACACACACACACACACACACACACACACACACACACACACACACATATACACAGTATAAGTTTTAAACAAACAATTGAATACTGTACACAGCAATGATGATTGTGAAGCTTGGTTGAGGTGGTGAAGTCAGAGGGTGGGATATTCCCAGGGAATGCCTTACTGCTAAATGATGAACTAGCACTCGGCTGAACCCTCAAGGGTTAACACACTGTTGTTAATGTAGCCTCACACTCTACAAGGCAGCATGAATGGAGGGAGGGGAGACAGCATGGCAGAGAGAGACACACACACCCCTTTAAGTACACTGACCCCACTCCAAGTACATTGCCTTTTTAAGTAGATCAGCAAGTTGAGACAGCAGCTGCTGCCAGCAAACTCCCTCCATCCTGAGTCCTGTCATGTGTCGTCCCCCCCCCCGCTCTGTGGAGATGGGGTACAGGAGCAGGGGGCAGGAGCGGGGGGAGGGAGACACCCTGACATTAGCACCCCTCTTCCCCCCCCCCAGCTCTGCACAGCAAGCAGGAGGCTCCCAGGAGCAGCTCCCAGGGAGAGGGCAGAAGCAGCACAGGGCAGGGGGGGGATGGACAGCGGAACAGCCTGGAAACTAGGCAGCTGCCGCACAGGGATCTTAGGGGA